AAAACAGAAAGACTACGCAGAAAATCAGATAGGAAGCGCACATGCAAAACATTAATCCCCCCAAAAAATCCTCACTGCTCAGACAAAATACCAGCACTAACAGGAAATATTTGGTAGCATTTCTTCATCAAACAAGCTTCAAAGTTAAAGTCAGTTCTGAGCTAGTGAGTTCAAAATATTCCGGTTTGTATTTCCGGAGATTTGCAGAAACTGGAGCTTCTTTACTCTATTCCTGGCCAATTCACAGCACTTACGTTGTTTATCCTCAGTCCCCCTGCCTTTAAAATTTGTGGCAGGCCTTTTTGAGATGTTCTTCCTCCCCGCCCCAAAATCATGTATGATTAGTTATTGACGTGCATCAATTTACTTGGCTGCAACAACTTTCCCTTCAATTCAGTCCACCAGATGATATTTTGGTTTTGCCCCCAAACTACTCAAAGTTTTGATGTAGTTTAAACTAGGATATAGCTATTACCACGTTCTCCATGTAGGCAGTTTTAGTGCCTGGAAGCAGAAAGGAAGAGAAGTTGAACAGGCATATCGGAAGTAATCTAGGAGCATTTCTTCATAGTGATATATAGCTTCTGCTAATGTTATCCCCACCATGACTGAGGCCATTGACATGTGTACCTATTACTGTTAGTGCATACCAATGGCTGAGTCATTAGTGGGGATCCTCCCTAGGATGACGGCAGCTTGACACTTTGGCAGACTCTGCCAAGCTCATACAAGTGTCACATTTGCTAACAGGCAACAAACCTTATGCTGGTCTGGGACCATAATAAATATTGATACTATTAATAAATAATGGAAAGGTTGGTCATTTCATGAGACTGCTTCCAGCCTTGTGCTTTGGATTTTAATTATAGCAATAGCAATAGCAGTTAGACTTATATACCGCTTCATAGGGCTTTCAGCCCTCTCTAAGCGGTTTACAGAGTCAGCATATCNTAAATCAAGGGCTGATTAGATGTATACTGATTCAGATTTAAGTGACATTGACGCTAATATTAGCTTTAACCACTAGCAGTGGTTCTCCGGAGTTCAAGGTGTTTCCAGCCCCACCTGTAGATGCTGGGACTAAACCTGGCATTTCTGCATGGAAATATCAGTGCTACTGTGTTGGATTCCATAGGAATCTGGGAGTCTTGTATCGCCTTCTCCTCTGCAATGTACCACTCTTTTATTAATGTCATAGAACAGGGGTGTCAAATTCAAGGACCAGATGTGGCTCTGGAGGGCTGTTTGTGGCCCTCCCGAACTCCGTTTTCGCTGGCAGAGGGTTGCAGGAGGCCGTCACAGCCGAAAATAGAGCCCAGAAGCCCCTTTTCACTGGCAAAGCACTCGGGCCATCTCAGGCACCCCTGACACAAGTGACGTTAAGCTGGCCATGCCCACCCTGGCCACACTCACCTCACCCCATCCCCCAGGTCAAACACACCCCTGATGTGACCCTCAATGAAATCGAGTTTGATAGGATCATTCCGTAGCCGTGTTTCTCAACCTTGGAAACTTTAAGGTGTGTGGACTTCAACTCCCAGAATTCCCAGAGTTGAACCAACATGCTGGCTTAGGAATCCTGGGAATTGAAGTCCACACATCAGTGGTGGATTCGGAGCGGTTCAGCAGAACCGGTAGTGGTTTGGCGGCCTAGGTTGCTGGAACCGGCAGCAACCCAGGCCTACCATGCCCCCGAATACGTAGAATAATTTTTATTGCACTGTGCATCAAGTGCGCATGCACAGCGCATCCATGAGTGAACTGGCAGTAGTGCCTGACTGTTAGGGAAGGGGAAGAAAGGCTACTACCTTGCCTTAGATTGTCCCAAACCTCCCCACATTTCTTAAATGTCTTTCTCTGTCATAAATTTGAAGACATCTCTTTCTTTCAGAGGATCAAAGAGTGCTGAAAAAGGAGGTGGCGCAGTGGGTAGAGTGCAGTACTGCAGGCCACTTCAGCTGACTGCTATCTGCAGTTCGGCGGTTCAAATCTCACTGGCTCAAGGTTGATCCATCCTTCCGAGGTGGGTGAAATGAGGACCCAGACTGTGGGGACAATGTGCTGACTCTGTAAA